TTATAATCAGTCCCAGTCAGAGGAACAGTATTTCGTACAAGAAATGGGGAGATCCCTCACACTTAAGGCAGTAGTAGGGAGATTGTATCTAGATTTGTCATGCTGATGTTTAAAAAATGATTCGCATTTTTTTTCAGCATTTTTTTCATGGAGAAAAAACCCCACTGTAGTCCTTGAGTAATTTCAGCCTCAAATGCCTGTCTCAGCTGCTGAACTGAAAATGCATTCACAAATCCAGCTGTTGCTGTGCATGCCTGTTTTCCTAGTTTTCCTTTTGCTTTATATGTTCTGTTCTTCCTTTTTAAAATATTTACACAATATCCTGTTTTCTTAAAGTCAGTAGATACAGATATTTCTTCCATTGTTAAAACAAATACAAATATTTCTTGTATCTTTTACAGTTTTGATGTTTTAGATCCATTTTCAGCTGCTGCTGAGAATTTGTCGTCCAGAGAAGCTTTCCCCTGACAGGGTGTGGCTCTTCAGGCTTAAACTGTGCAGTCCTGTAGCTGATTACTTAAATGGAATCAGATGTACTAAATTAAGATGAACTATTTGTCTTTATAGCCTTTCCTTCTATGTTTAGAATTAAGCACATTTGTAGAGCTGGAATAAAGACAGTTTACCCATCAAGCTGCTGGCTGGGGGCTGTTGATATATAATCACAGAACTCTGTTTAGTGCTACAGATTTCAGGGAATTTGAATTTCCAGGAATTTTTCAAGTGTTTATAAAACCTTCTTGGCTCCAGTCTCTCTAAGTATTTTTCTTATGGAGATTGGAAGTAAAATATTTTCTTGATAAACGTTCATTTTTTGTCCATTGTATCTTCATAAATGGCAATCAATCAATACATTATGAATTCTGTTTATAAACAGTTGATCATCATTCATGTTTCTTCTGGAGGGGAATGTATCTTCTTTTTGTGGCAGTAAGGATTGATGTAAATCACATTTCAAGGCATGTGTGGTAAGTGGAAAGGGATTTCCATATGGATGACAATTTGTATGTTCTAATTCAGTCGCTTGATCTGACTGAAGAAGTATTTATTTGAAAAGAGCAAACTTCTTTGGTTTTAAATATTTGTCAGAAACATAAGCCTATTTTAGAAGGTAAATATGATGGGTGTTTGTGACATGAAAGCACTGCACTAGTAGACAGCAGTGGATCAGGAATTTGACTTTTCAGAGATGTGTTTTATTCCCTTCTTTTTCAACACCTCATGTTTGTGGGGTTTTTTCTGCATTTAAACAACATTTTTTTTGTGCTTTTAGCTGTGTGATTTTGCATTGCTTTGACCAGTAATTGTCTTACAAACTGTTGTTAGTCATGACACTCCTGTAACCGTGCATATTTAGTCAGATGTACCTCTCTAAGAGATCTCTTTGTGTTTGTCAAAAGCTTCATCCAGTGTCTCAAGATTTCATTCCTTCAGTTGGGGTCTTTTTTGAGCCCATCAGGAAGCAGGGATACCCTGAGTGGTTTGCATGTGGTCTCAGAAAGCTGTAGAGAGAGAGACCAAGGGAAAGGATTCTGAGGAAAGGACTGAGTACGAAACCAGTCCAGGCTTATGCACATGTTCTCCACTCTGCTGTGTGTAGAGACATATTTTGAAGAAAAGCAGTGCAGCAAGACAACCTGAGCAGCCTTGAGTTGTCAGAGGAGCACCAATGAGTCATTTCTTGTTTTAATGGAAGGGATAGCAGTGGAGTTACCACGTCACAGGCAATATTTGTCTGGGAAAGTGTGATGTATTCAGAAATAATAGGGTTTAACCACATTATAAACGTGTTAATTTAAACATGCAAAGTTAACAGAAAAGTGCTTTTAGCACTAAGTGTGACAAAATAAAGAGTGGATAATACTATGGATGGATAGTGGAAAGAGAAGCATCGTTATCATACACTAGTTTGAAAAACTAAATCTTTGTCCCTAACTTTCTGGAATACCTGATATCCTATTCATGTATATAGATTCTACTGCTAATGAAACTTAGAAAAAAGAGTTTTCAGAATTTTTTGTTTATAAATTTCTAAACTGATTACATGCTGATTAAAGTAATAAAACCCCCTCTCCTATGACCTAAGTTCAGATATTCTATGGAGTGGAATTATGTGATTTGTGATTTAGACCATGGTGGATTTGCAGCATGTGAAATCACATGCAAACAAGTTAACAATATCAACTTAATAATTTCTTGAACACTGAGTAAAAAGCTTTCATCATTAATTGCTGTGTATACATTGATTTTAACTCTGTAGGAGATAAAGACTTCATTTTAACACAGGTTTGCACCTTGAGAAATCCTCCCTTGAGTTTATGACAATAAAAGCCTAGAAAAAAATACCTATTAGGTTGTACTTTTAGAAAAATGCATTTCCATTAATTTAATTTTGAAAATGCTTTCCTCACTTCATGTGGGGTGATTTGGGATTGGTGAATTCTAGCAGGTCTTTATTCTTCATTGCATACACTTGTTCAATACTTTTTTCATTCTTGTGTATTTTAGGTGTAGCCAGTCTGGATTATTTGTGGGGAGAAGGGGGACTTTGAGTATTCCCTGCTGGAATATAGCGAGCATCTGAGTAAAACTTTCTCATAGCTGTGTTTATCTGGCTTTCAGTTATATTGTACGTAACACTTTTTACAGTAAGGTGAATACTTTTTACAGTAATCTGTCTTGGTGTGTGACTGACAGGTGAGAGTCACTCGGGTGAGCCACATTGTGTGGGAGCAGGTAGAGGCTGGCCTCAACCTGAACTCCAAGATAAAAGTGCTGTGTCTCCACCTTCAGCAGCTCATCCCATCACTGGCACTCAGGATTACTCCTGTGTATTTTTTGCCTGGGGAAGCTCTGTGTATATGAATATGTGAGGAAGGATATGTGGGAATTCTGCATTTCTTAAACTTGTTTATTTGTTCCCATTCCTAGTAGCCATTTTCAGCAGATTTTCTGGAGCATTTTTAAGGGTGCTCCTGTCATCTTTTGTGCACAGATCTGAACCTTACTCTGTAGAATTGCTCTTCAGACAACAAAGGGATGCTCCTGCTTGCAGTTATACCCCTTTGTGTTTCCTAGACTCTGACATAAAACCTGTCATTATTTCCTCCCTTACTCTCAGTTCAGTTAGACTGGATGGGTTAAGGGGTGAGGTGAGGAGAGGCTTTCAATCAGAACAGAAAGATTAATTTTAAGCACTGCTAAACCACAGCATTTAACTCCAACCTGCTTGAAACAGCACTGCAAGGGCATCAGGAGGAGTGGTGGGCAGGCAGAGCTTGTGGAAATGACTCCCAGGTTTAGGGACTTAGAGTGTGAGCTTGCACCTCACAGAACATCTGTGCCCAGGTCCTGCCAGTGCTGCTGTGCTCTGGATGTGTGTGATGTGTTCTGGAAGCTTTCTTGCTGCTTTTCCTGTTGACTCGGTTGTTGGATTCTGGAAATCTGTGGAAATGATGATGAAGTCCTCTTGGTTATTAAGCAGAGAGGAATAAATCCCAAGTTAGCAAAAATTTGTGCAGCCTTTTGAATCCAGTTTTTGGTGCTACTTTGGTTAACTAAAAGCAGCAGTTTCAGGCAGAGCTGAAAATCTCTCTCATCAATGAGAGCAAACTGTCCTTGCATCAGGAAGGTGACAATAAGAGGATTTTGGTGCTGGCTGTGACCCTTTGGCTGTGTGACACAGTGGCACAAATGCTGGATGCTGTGAGTGGGGCTGCTGAGGTTTTGGCTGCTCTCCTGGGGGAGCTGCCATGACAACCCCACTGCTGGTGGGGAATGCCCTGCGCCGGAGTTCCTGCGGCGAGCCTGGGGTCACTGGCATTCCGAGTGGCTCTGGAATATTGCAGGCACCAGAGACCCCTGCCTGTACTTCTGCCAGCGTTTACTGTTATCACAGTGGGTGAAATATGCAAATGGTGCTAACAGGTAGCTGGGAAAGAAAAACCTGATTTCTCTAAAAGCAGTTTTTTTAATTCCTTCTTTGGTTTCCTTCTTTACCAAATGATTTGAACTTTTACTTCTAAATTTTACATGGGCATGCAATGCTAAATAAAAAGGAAACAACTATACATTAAAATTTTAATTTGTTTGCATCTAAAAAAAAAAGCTTGCTACCTGCAAATACTTGTTTCCTTCACAAGGGAATTAAAATGACCGGTCATTGCTTGTTATGCCTTTTTGGTTTTAATTGTTTTGAAAGCAGACACTTGTTCCTTCACAAGGTGATTTTTATTGACATTTGAGGACAAGATTTTTTCATGATATTTGGTTTTGTGTTTTTAGATTATGTCTAAACCATCTTTTCTTTCTGGTATTCTGATCCTTCTTGACAAACAGTGCTTGGATAATATCATTATCCAAGTAGCATTGTTTCCCAGATAATTAAGAATAGACAACTGCAAAGAGCATGGCAGGGACTCTATTTCTCTATTTTCTTGAATATGAAATACCTTTTAATAAAAAGGGGAATTATTTAATGATTTTTTTTTTAGTAGGACATTAGAACATGTAAATTAAATGCCTCAGAACATAAAAAAAAAACCAATTTGCAGATGCAATCACTTTAATTCAACAGATCTTCCCACAAGCAATAATGCAGTCTTAATACATGAAGCTTTGATATTTGAATAGTGTTTTCAGATGTTCCTGTCAAAGCAATGTGTGTGTAGTTATAGGCAAAAGTCATCGGCATGCTTATGTAACTATAAGCAAAAATGCTTATAAATGTAATGCTTAATTTAGAACCTATAAGCAAAAATGCTTATAGTTTCTAAATGTAAGAGTTTTTGAAGGTAAGAGACAGTCATATTTTACATTCTTGGCCTCGATATTAACTGCACTGCTAGAGAGCCGATGTACTGGGGAACTGGAGTGCTTGTATTATTGCAAATGAACATTATGATATCTCTGTGAGAAGGTAAAGACAAACTTGTTATTTGTTGCTGTCTAACTCAAGATTTAGTTTTGAAAGTAGTGCATGTGTTTATTTTGCTGTGCAGGTAACGTGCTTGCAGGACTTCTTTGGAGATGACGATGTCTTCATTGCGTGCGGGCCGGAGAAGTACCGCTATGCTCAGGATGACTTCGTGTTGGATCACAGTGGTAAGACTGCACATCCTGAACCCACTCAAATAGAAAATTCTCCATCCCATTCCCCTGTTCAACCCTCAAGAATGGTGTGATTCAGGAAGATATACATGGGAGGATGTTTTCCTATGGATAAAAAAGTTTTTTCAAGCCATCATCTGGATTCTGTAAACCTGTTAAAATGCACCAACAAACTTGATCCAAATTCCTGCAGAATAGACACTGTCCCTAAAGTTACATGGAAAGCAGAATTGAATTATAAAACTTTCAGTCATGGATCGAATGAATCTAAAACCTGTTAACGATGTTCACTTTTGGCATCTGTAAGATAATTTCCATATTGCCTTCTACATTACATTTTTGAAAAATCTTGTATGTAGCCATGCTCATTTCAGTCTTGAATTACCCTGCCAGAAAATTTACACACTCCAGTCTTATCTGCTAATAGACCAAGTGTTGGCCTTGTATTTATTTTGAGGTTATGGGGGATGTTGGGTAGGGAAGGAGGTGAGACAAACTGGGACCTTGTGCCCTCTTGTCTGCCTTGGGCAGTTCATGAATTGAATTTGTTTATGAAAGTTGTTTTTCTGTAAAGAAAAACTTTGTAAATTCAAGGAAAAGGCAGTCTTCTACCAGAGAATTTTGGACTTGTCTTGAAATATCAGATCATAAAGATGTTGGGGCTTTTTCCTCCATGTTCAAGGAACTGTAGAATGGGTTGAGCTGGAAAGTACCTTTAAAGGGTCTATTTAGTCCAATCCCTGGCAATACCAGGGAAACCTTCCAAAAAAAGTGCAGGTTGTTCAGAGCTCCATTGAACCTGACCTTGAATGTTTCCTGGGGTGAGACATCTATCACCTCTCTGGGTACCCTATTCTGTAAGTGTTTCACCTCTTGCCCAATAAAAAATGGCTTCCTTATATTTAGCCTGAATCTACAGGTTTTTTACTTTAAAACCATTCTTCTTGTTCTATCATTACAGGTCCTACTAAAACATGTTTTTTTTTCTGTCTTTATTGTTCAAGCTGTAGAAACACCCTGATTGTCTTTTATAAAAAAAATTAATTTCTTGTAAAGAAAACTTGCCCTGGCAAGAGTAATCAGATTATTCCACAGGAGCTTCAGGTTGTGAATGAAGGATTTTAGGTTTTTTTCAAATAAAAACAACAGCACCTTCTGTTCCTGTAATTTTTATTGACATCATTATTTCATTACAAAATGCTCAGTTGCAGTGGGAAGTATAGATGTATATCTACCCACTGGTCTGTACATTTGGATGGATGGAGGATTCAGCTACCTCCCCTTCTGCTGTTCTTGCTAGGGTGCTGCTTTTCCAGAACTGCTTGATTATGTTGAGTCAATTAGTGTGGAGGTGACCAAAAGGGTATTTTTTGACATAGTTAACAGCTAAAAAATTACTTTATTCTTATGAAGGAATGGAAGAGCATGGTTGTATTGACTCACAATGAAAATCCCAGTCTGGGCATAATCCCAATTTCCCTAGCAGGTTTTAAGGCTGTAAATTTGCTTTTCCCATTACACAAGCCACAGACTAGTTGAACTCATTTCCTTGCCTTTTTCTCTTTCTTTCCTTTATCTCTTCAGCTTTGGTGCTCCCTGCTTCCTCTAGTAGCACTGGGGGTCTTTATGGATAAAAGCATGTTATATACATGACTAGCAGGGCATGCATCTCAACTTATTTTTTTTTATGATGACATGGCATCCTAGTGATGACATTGTTCATCAGGGACAAAATGAGGAGAGAAATTTATGATCCCATTTGCTATCGATGCTAACCATAGGAATAAAATGTTACCAAAATGGCAATGCATGTGTACTCATTGATTCCTTTCCCACTGAGGTTGTTATTTAATGATATGAGCTGATGGTAAATGACAGTAGTCTGTTGTTTCAGCCTTCTGGAAACAATTGGCATTTTTCACCTGTTCAAAAATTGGTCACAGCATCAGTTTATTGAAAAAGAAGGGAAGCACAGCTGCCCAGTATGGAAGTGCCATTACAGCAGGAATCTTGGCATCAGCATATGTACAAACTTGAATTGTAGTAGCAATCCAGCCTCAAGACATGAAGAAATATTATCTGCAGAATGTCACATACAGTACTGTGTAGCTCAAATGGGTTTTTATGGTGAGTAGGTGAGAGCTGGGAGATGGTCTCACAGCTGTGTTTGACTCAGCTGGGCAAAGATGTTTAGAAAGTGCTGGTCATTTCCTGGATGACAAAGTGCCACAGTGCTGTGTGGAGGGAGCACTGAACAGTTGTCAAGACCCCTGACAGAGTTTGCTTGCTTTGTAGAATGTCGGGTTATGAAGTCTTACTCCCGCTCCTCTGCCATGAGGCACGCTGCATCCAAAAGTCCAGGACCTTCACGTCGGAGCAAATCCCCTGCCTCAGGTACTGCTGCTAGGAAAGAGCTGAGCATGTCAAATACACAAAAATTAATTTTTTTTTCTAAAGGGGTGAAGAAACCTGTTGGCTCTGTCTATAATACAAGTGTTTCCAGAGGGGTAAAAACCCCTTTTTTCATTTTGTCTCAGAGATTTAATACTAATCTAAAATAAATTTGCAATTTTTAAATTTTAAATCCTAGGAAGAAACATGGTTCCTGTTTTATAATTCCAGGCACATGTAGTTTTAATTTATGAACATTGGAGTAACTTCTGCTAATTGTGCACTTGGGATATGTTTTCAGCATGGCACTTGATTTTCCTGAAAACTATTAACTGCAGGGTTATATATGTGGTTAAATTCATGTTATTGAACTAGAGTATACCTGTAAATTTTGAATTAGAAAAGTTTCCCCTATATTAGCCAAATACTATCAGATATACAGGCCTTTGCTGGTTTAAGTAATTTTAGGAGCTGTACTATACTGTGATTGACGATTAAAAGATAATTTTTCTTCCTATGCTTCTCGTCATTTCAAAGAGAAGTGTTCACACCCTGTGGTGATTTTGCTACTAGTTTGGCTGAACACCATATGTTCCAACCATTTTATGTAAATAAAGGGAGAAACTTGTTTTTAAAAAAAAAAAAAATTTACCACCGTATTTAATTTCTAAATACTTCCTTTTCCCCTGAAATCAATCTATTGAATATGTAAATATATGATATGTAAATATATGATATCATCTTTCATATGTAAATATAATATATGCTCTTTTCTGAATGTGTGTGTATTCAAAACTGTGACATGTTCCACATTCTCATCTCCACATTTGTTTTGCTTAATTGGTGCTGGTTAAAGTCATTTTATCTTTGGGTTTTTTCAAAGTGGAATATTAATAATCTGTTTATAAAGGTTGAATGTTTAACTGGAAAGCTTCAAAGAAGGATTGCAGAAAAATGTATCATGAAGGGCAAATTTGGAACTGATCTACATTTCATTCAATTCTTTTACCTCCAGTGAGATGATGTAGAATATCTATCAGCAGTGAATTTTATGCAAAGTATTTAGATATCAGTGCTGTCATTCCTGTACTTATTTTTGCTTAGGCCCTCTTTGGTTTGGTAAATTTGAAAAATGTATGCAAAGGGTGTGGTATTTATCCTTCTATTTAGTTGGCTTTTTTTTTATCTTTTATTTACCTTTCTTCCTTCCGTGCATGTTCAGAGCTGTTTAATAACTTCTTTCCTTAATGTCTTTTTCCTTTGTGTCAAATATATGAGTACAGTAAAGAGGGGTGGCCACTCCAGTGCTCATTCTTCAGCAAAATCCCCAGGTGAGCCATTACTATTATGGCAATATGTCACTAGTGTGTCTCCTCCCTCTCCTTTTACCTGTATTTTTGGTGCTGTATTTGTGAATGTGTTCAAGTTTGAAAAACATTTTGCACTGGATGAAACACAGATGTAATGGTTGTTGGGTTTGGTTTTTTTTTGGTGTTTTTCTTTGTTTGGCTTTTTTTGTTTGTTTGTTTAGTGTTTTTTTGGTTTTTTGGGTTTTTTTGTTTTTTTTTTTTTGTTGAGGTAGATAATTTCAGTGAAATAATGCTTTTCAGTTGTTGGATATCCTCTAATGGTGTCAAAGTTAAATTTTAAAGGTGTAATTTCACTACAAGTAGAGAGCGTTCTAAGGAGCAATACATTTGCATGTTTATTATAAAGCATATTAAAATAGAAAATTTCAGCCAGCAAAAAGACATTTCAGCCAGCAAAATGGTATGAGAATTAATGAAAAAAGCAGTGCAAAACCATCTCATATGTTTCAATTTTATGTGCAATTTCTTAGTTTTCTTATTTTTCTTGTATTACTTCAGTCTGAATTCTACAAAATCTGAATTTTGCTGAATTGCTGAACCTTCAGTTCCAAGTCAAAGCATTTGTGAAGCAAGTAACATACAAATTGATTAGCAAATAAATTGAGCCTTTGGGTCATATTCAGAGTAAACAATTTAGAAGTTATTAATGGATTTTTAAGTTTTAAACATTCCAGTGTGCCAAACATGTAGCCTAACATGTACTACTTCAGAATGACAGAAAATTTGGGTTTTTCTTTTCTGTGTATTCACTGATATACATGTGGAAAGCAACCACAAAATAATTTATGCTTAGAAAATAGATTAAAAAAGGTAAGTTTGGCATACATAGGGAATAACCAGCAAATCAATGGCAGCAGACAGATTTGTGCCAATACAGATTGCTGGGTTATTGAGTGAGGGAAGAAAAAAAAAAAATCTGCTGTCTGAAATAGTGTCATGGTTCAACCTCAGCCAGCAACTACAGGCACTTCCTGACTTCTCTGCTGCAGCAAGATGAAGGAAGTGAATTGGAAGGGTGAAAGTGAGAAAATTCATGGGTTGAGATATGAGTGGTTTAATAACTGAAGTAACAATAGTAATAGCAACAACAATGCTGCAATGAAAATCACAAAGAGAGAGAAATAAATCCCAAGAATGACAGGAGATTTGAATGAGCAGCTGACTGATGCCATCCTGTCCCCTCTGCCCAGCATTCCCTCTCATTTTAGTGAGCAGGACACTGTATGGTCTGCAATATTCCTTGGATCAGCTGGGGTCAGCTGTTCCACTGTGTGTCCTCTCATCTCACGAGGAGCTGAAAAGACCTCGCTGCAGTGCAGCAGCCACAGGAACATCCCTGTATTAGCAGCACTTCCCAACACAAATCCAAAACACAGCCCTGTGCTATCTGCTGCGAAGAAAATTAATTGCACCCCAGCCAGAGGCAGCACAAGCAGTTGACAGACTCCCTGTAGGTGCAAAGCCTTTCCATGCAGAGGGGCCCAGTGCCAGCTTTCCCTGTTGTAGCAGCTCATGTGCAGTGGCTCTCTGAAGGCTCTTTCCAGCTCTTTCCAGCAGGATCCTCGTCAGAACGAGCTGTGTGCTCTGTAGATGCACAAAAGTTGGAAGGCACCTCTGGCTGTCATCTGGTCACACTCCTGGCTCAGAACACCACCAAGAATAGCTGAGATATTAGCAAAGAGCTGCAGTACTGTCAGTGTAATCTGGGCTCCTCTTGGACAGTTTTGGGAGGGAAGAACGTTATGTTGACCAGTCAGTTTTACTGGAAAAACTTAGTGCTTCTGCCAATGCTTAAAGAGGATGGTAGTGACTCAGACAAGGATGCCTTACAGTGGTCATGTTTTTCCCCCTAAATCAACATTTCTGAGCTACTGCTAAAGTTTTCGGTCATGTAAACAGTTAATTCTTGTTAGAACTCCTGTTCTGTCAAACATTCTACTTAGAAAGTAAGGCCTTGATCCAAACTGAAGAGGAGGAGGGTCAAATATCCTCAGAAACATTTTCATTCTATAAATGTTATTGTGTGATATCACAATTTATTGTGCAATTTTTAAAAGCTGTGGCTTTTTTTTTTTTTTTTCCTTTGTTTCTGTGCCCAAAACTCTTGCCCTGGCAAAGGACAGAAAGGGCCTTTTTAATCTCTGGAATGACAATGCAATATTTGCTTGTCTCCTTGATTCCATATCCAGCCACACGAATTTTCATGGTGCAATTTTTTGACATGCAAATATACATGTTATTCCTAAATACTGAGGACTCTGTTTTGGTCTATGTTGGCAAACTTCAGTGATAACTTCTGATTTTTATTCATCTTTTCTTTCATTTGTTCACTTTCATTGCTTTGGCCAGTTAATGGAACCCCAAGCAGTCAGTTATCCACCCCAAAATCTACAAAGTCATCCAGTTCTTCACCAACAAGCCCAGGTAGCTTTCGTGGACTCAAGGTAAGTGCAAGAGCCATTAAACCCCCTGAATTTCATTATTCATTGACTGTATAACACTGGTGCTGAAGGAAAAAATAAAAAGTTATAATTTTGGAGGGTAGACTTGCAAGTATGATTTTTGTTAATATGGAGAATAGATCTGAAGTACGATTTTTGTGTTTTGTCTGGGTTGAACACTCTGCTTAGGAAAGGCAGAATGTGATGCTGGCTCAAATATGCTACTTTGTCCTCCAAATTTTCCATTGCTTTGTGGACTGCAGAAATCCTCCAAGCAATTTGTATCCCTTCAGCCTACAGAAATGTAGCATTGTCTTATAGTCTGTGGCATTGCCCAAGTTTCAGCTAAAGCAGACTTATTTCTCCCTGGCACCAATTTCACCCCTCAATCCAGTCTCCTGCCAGAGAGTGTTTGAGGGCTTCCTTTGGGAGCAGCCTGATGTCTGGCAGATTTTTCTGTATTGCACCAAGAGATTTCTCTTCCTCTCCCACTTCAGAATTGGCTCCATTTGTAGTTCTTGGAGGCTGCTCTGTGCCTTTGGCTCAGTGAAATAAAAGGAACATTCTGGATTATAGCGGAGCATCTCATTGCTGCATTGGTGCAGCTGTCCTTTCAAGGGGAATTTTCTTATGGAATCATCAATTGCAGCCTTTCTGGAAGCAGACTGGATGATTTGCACTGATTATTCTGATCAAGTAATAGCTCCTATTGGTGAACACAGCATTTGTGAAGAGGCTGCATAATTCTGTGGAAAAATGTTTTCTGTGTTAAGAGACTGGCTAAAGGACGTGATTTGAATAGTGCTCAGATTTGGGTTTTGACATGCTAATTGTTATCAAGTCTTGTTTTGCAAGGAGTATTGGCACTAGTTTTTGCCAGACTACTTGTGATGATTCTGACAAAGGAATTTGATAGTTTTAATTTAAGTTTAGAAATGAGACAATTTGCCTTGGCTTTTTCACTGCTGCTCTGTCTGCTTTTAACTGATTAAAGCTCCATTAAGGCAGAGATAATTCTGATAGCAGCAAGCAATTCTCACCAAACTGGACATGTCCCCTTTCCCATTCACTTTCACTCAAGTAGGCTCCTGTACTTTTTCAATTTGGAATTTAACTGGTGCTGTGCACTAATGGGTTTTTGTGTCAAATTATTCACCCCCATATGACCAAAGAAAATAGCAAAACCGAATTAAGCACCTCAGGTCTGATGCGTTACTGAGGTAGTGAGTACATCTTTTTTTATCCTTTAGGATGCATCTGTTTAGCAGGAGTGTCCCAGCTGGGCTCCTGAGACTAAAGATAGGGAGTTATCTGGTGAATCCAAGGGGAATTCCAAAAGGATCAAGTGTGCTGTTCAGTAACACTTGTTTCTCAATTATGTTGTAGTAGAAAGGACTGTTTTGGGGAAGCATAAAACCAGTAACGGGGGTACAGTTTTACACAAAATCAAATTCTTTTAAGAAATTCATACACCCTTTTGTGAAATTGGGTTTTTTCTGGTTACGCTGATGAGAGAAAAGGGGGAAACAATTTAATTATTTGGATATTATTGCTTTTCCATTTTGTTTAATAGTTTCTTGTTGCTAAGACTGCATTGCTGCACAGACAAACAGTATGGCTTCCTGCACTTGTATAAAGAAGGTGCCATGACTACAGCTGAATGAAAATTTAGATCTAAATACCTGTCAGTGACAGAATAAGGTGTATTTTAGATCTTTTTGTCTTTGGGAGTTCAACATTTTGAGTTTTTTATTGTGCACAAATCATATATATTTGTTTTTGTCGGGGGCGAAACAGCAGGACTGAATAATGGTTTTGTATAAGCTTGAGGCAGCATAAAAAAAGGAAAAAAAAACCAGAGCTGATGTTTCTGTTTCCTGTAATGAGCAGAGCATGAGAGCAGCTGCACTTGAACTGCACTTTAAAAACTGTTTTATTTGAAAAGCCAGAGCAAAGTAAAATATTTTGCTATAGATTAGAACCTTGCTGAGCTTTTTGTAGTTTGACAATCAATGTAGAGTATAAGTGATAGTGCCAGTCATCAAGGCAGCCAACTTGCAAAAATACTGACTGCAGCAGCAATTTCTTCTCAGTCTCAGACACTGAATCTTATATCATATTCTCTAAATGCCACTATTCTTTTAAAGAGAAGCCTCTTCAGTCCCCAAGGATTCCTTCTGCTTCACAACTCTTTTGTTAGGAGTGGTAAGTTCAGGCACAGAAAATTCCTCACAGGAGTCTCCTTGTGAACAGTATATCTTTAAAGGGAAAGTCTGTCTTTCTGTCTTTTCTAGCTCTTCCAAGCAGAGTGCCCTTGTGCTATTAATTGTTCAGTATATACAGTAAGTCCAGCATCCCAGGCTTGCAGAAGTGTTTTAAATAGTGGACTCTGAGATTATATTGAAGTCAGGAATTAAAGCTATGTCTTAATAATAGTAAACATGATGGAATTTCCCCAAAAGCACAGATAAAAGCCATTATTCCAGTACATGACAAATGTGGATGCTATGTATCCAATACTCTGTGTAGTCTTATTCAGGCTGTTTATTTTTAACAGCCCAGAATTACTCTGTATCTCAGCATTCACTTAGCAGCGGCTTTGTTTCAAGGTGAAAATTTAGATATAAAAGTTAACAAGTCTGGGCATGAAATAAATGAGTATTCTGTGCAGTGTTCTCTTTTGATCAAATGTACAGAGTTTCTTATTTTACTTTTGAATTCCAATGGAGATAAAATCTGGTGCATGGTTTAATAATAATGGTAATGGGTGCATTTGCTGACCAAGAGAAGTCCTTTTGCTGTTCTGTAGGCAGTGGAAATGTTTAAAAATTGGCTTTGGTTCTAAGTGTACATTTCCATGCAAAGCTGTTACAGGTGATTTGACTCTTAGCTCTTCCAGTATATCTGTTATTCTGCACACATTGTGCAGAATAAAAATCATCCAGAGGCTAAATTAAATTTGGAAACTGGTGTAACTTTGGAAAGTGGTGTCATAACTTCCTTATGCTTACTTGGATTACTTTATTGTCTCCTCTTGAAATTAAGGACCACCAAGTCTTGCAATCTTTTTAAAAAGAAAATAAAATCATCCAAATAAAGAGGCTTTGCAGTTGAAGCCTTTCGTAGACTCAGAATTATGCTAAATAGCTTTGTGTTTGAATTTGTTTGGGCATCACTTTTGCAATTGATGGACCACATGACCAAAGTGAAAGGGCATTAGAACCTGATCCAACAAATAACTTAAGTACTTATTTAACTTTCAGCAATTGAGTAGTCTCTTTTACTTCAGTGAGGATGTTAATTTACTTAAAGTTAAACATGTGCTTAAGTGATTTGAAGGATTAGTGCCTAAGTTCATCAAAGTTTTTTATCTCTTCAGTGCTGTACACATGTGCTTTGTGTGTAGCTTTATGTAAAGATTATTTACATGTGTGAGTAGTGACACAGGGGCCACAGCAGTTCATAGAGGGATTCTTTAAGTGATGCATTTTGTGAATTTACAATTTATGTTTAAGAATCACTTTAAAAATACTGTCTTACACATTATATTACTATTAAGCATTATAATAATAAATACAATATCTCTATGAAACACGGATTATATAAATAGCATTTTATTTATGTTCAGAATGCCTTTTGGTCCCTTCTTACTACAATTGTTCAGGATGAATTACAATGGCATAACCAAAGTGTCCCCAGATTTCAGGGAATACTTCTGCAAATTTAATCCACGGTTCCACTAAAATACTCATACTCTGCAGTTAGATTCACCACCATCCCATGTGGCTGCCAAGGAGTTAGGTATTTATTTAAATATGAAAATAATCCCCAAATGTTTCCACAAACATTTGTGTCATGGGCACTCTTAATCCTGAGTGCAGAGGTTTGCCAACCAAGGTGCCATTCTACTGCCAGAAAATATGAGTTTGTATCTGTGGATCCTTAAAAAATAAAATCCCATCAGCTGTGGAGTTGGGGCAGAGCTAGGGTTAAACCTGCCATTTCAGATTCTGATCTAACACCTCAGCCATAATGGCAGCATTGTTTTTATTTTATTTTTGTATTCATTTTAGCTTTTCTTTCCTGTTAATATTTGCTTCCTTCTTGTGGTAAGAAGAAATGTGCCCAGTCATGCTCTGCCCTGATTACAAGACTGAAGGAAGTTGGAAATGTGGACTAGATGTTCCCATGTATTGTCACTCACTGAAAACCCAAAATAGATTACTAGTATTTTAGGATGATGACTAATACTTGGCCATGGTCTGTTCTGCTATCTCTGCTTCATGCTTGAAGAAAATGTGGCTGACTGGTTAAGAGACTGACTCGTGATTTTGTACAAACATTATTTAACCCAAATGTCCTTGTTCCTAATCCTTGTTAAATAGACAGATAATTCAGAAAGACAGCAGCCTTAACATAGCCTGGGTTTAAGTCATTAGTAAGAAGCAGAGTAGTAGCTGCCTGCTTGCTGCTTGATGCTACTTCTGTCCCAAATGCTGGTAAACGTTGTTTCAGGGGGTCTGCAAAATTAAGTTGTACAGCTTCTAGTTACTGTACCTTGAGCTGATTTGGCAGCTCAGCTGCCACTAGAAACTTAAGCATTCATTAGCATTTCATGAGCCTTTAGACAATATCCCTATCTGTCAGTTCAGTTCTTTCCCTGACAATAGTGTTAATGATTTAAAATATTCAGCAGTGTAACCAGACAATGTCAGCTAAAAGGCAAAATGCTGCATTTGCATTCCCGGTGTCTCCAAAAGCCATTTCAACAGACACTGAGCTTAAGGCAGAGAAACATTTTAATCCTTCCTGTGGTGAGTGCTGAAAACCACCATAATGGCCCATGAAGAAAACAAGATCTGGAACTTCACAGAACAGCATTACATAGAGGAGGGGGAATGATCTAAACTTTGTTTTTTCATTTCATGCAACATCCCTATACATAACTGTAATAGGAGAGCTTATAAAAATGGTGCACAGAACACATCCAGTATATTTTACTATTTATGGCATTCATTCCTATGCCTCCACCCCTGTTCAAAATAAAAACTTAGCGTCGTTTACATCCTGGGCAGTATGACAGGATGACTTGACGTAGAATCATGAAGATTCAGATCCAATACTAATTAAGCTGTTAGTGCAGGAAAATCAGTTTTCTTCAGCTGCTTGAAAATTTAGATATTTGTTTATTTACAGTGTCACAGTTACTAAAACTGGATCTATGTCGGGATACATATCTGACATCTAACTTGAAATGTTTGTAGGTGGCAAAATCTTCACAAAAATCTTCACATCTGTAATAACCTAAAATAGAGCCCAATAGATGGCTAAATAAATCTGATTATCATAGATGTACCTGGCCACCTAGGCCAAAATCGTAGATGTAGCTGAAAGGAATTTTCTCTGCTGTTTACTGAAATCTGTTCAACTGCTTATCTAAATAGAAATATTGTGGCTGAATCTTAAAGTGGTACAAGTGACAGTGATGATGAACTTTGAGAAAGCAAGAATGAAAATAAGATGGGAGTAGAAAAGTAAACTGACTGTAAGTGTTTTTAGTAGGGTTTCTCTTTGCTGGTTTTTTGTATGGCTCTCTCTTGTGATTACCATCAGAAATTGGAAGTTCTTGTGCATTTCCACAGATCTCCCCACATGGTGGATCTTCTTCCAATGTGAATGGTGTACCTGAATCACTCCGTTGCCAGAGTCCTGAAGGTAGGACACCAATAACTTGCCAGAATTTTGCTGTGGATGACACTTGCATTAGCACTATTGAATGGTTTCTGGTGGCTCCAAATATTTTTTTGTTTGGAGATGTAATAAACAAGTGGATGTTGTTGATTCACCTTGGAAAAAATTATAGCCAATTCATACATCAAGGCAGTGAAGTTAGGAAATAAATTTTGTTAATTTTCTTTGTCCATTGGTAGCATATTATTGGAGCTTGCTCTTCAATAGTCACTGTCAGGAATTTGACTGATTTGAAAATGACCTGCATTATCACTAGAAATGTTTTTGTGACTGTTTTGAAAGAGGAACCCTCCTCAAAAGAGCTCTTTATGCTTCAGGTAGAACCACTGGCCAATCAACTACACCATAGCTAAATTAAACCTTTCATTCCTGATCTCTTTACAGCAAAGTCAGTTATTTTAAAATATTTTTAAATTTCATGTTGGAGAAATGTTTTTTATCTTAAAAACACTGAAATAAGCATCTATCAAAATTACTTGCATTTTGGATGTTTTAGGAGCACCTATAAAAACTTGAAGGAATTCAGCAGATGAAATTTTTGGGTCTTTCATATGCATTGTAGCTGAATCTTATTTGCATTTTTGCTTTGAGTTTGCAAAAATATAAGTCAAAAACGTAATTTGAAGTCAGAAAATTTTAGATTAAGAACTTCTAACTGCATTCATTACTTTTAGAATATGCCGGTACAAAAATGTAGCAAGAGGCTTATTTTTGTGTTCAAAGGTCAAATATCTTTGGGTTCATCTTGTTCTTCTTTACACTTGAGATAAAACCAAGGGAATTGCAGTGGAGAAAACAGCTTACTTTTAAGTTTTGTTTTGCATTTGTGACTGTTTCTTATCTGTGGAGCCCATTGGGGATATATTGCATCCTGCTGACACTTCTCTTCAGCTTTTATTATTGACTTCTTTACTTTTTTTACAGGCTTGAATGGAAACAAGTTCTCAGGGTCATCTACCATTCTTGAGAAGTATAAAGTGGGGAAGGTGATTGGTGATGGCAATTTCGCTGTTGTAAAGGAGTGTGTGGAACGGTGAGAGAGGAAACTGTTCAGTCCTGCTCTTCATTGTACTGGATAAAGCCCTGTGCATTAACATAAATTTCCTAGACAAATGTAATGAGATTAAAGTGAAGAGCACTTGCAAAAACATGCACATACTTGAGGAAAAAACAGGCATAGCAAAACAGGCAGAGCTTTCTGTGTTTTCTTCTAGCTAAGGGATACAAGAACAGCAGAGAACCATGGCTTTTTATCCCACAAACTAAAGGAGGCATCACCCTTCTCAAGGTGCCTCCTCAGGAAACCCCACAGCTCTTCAAGAAGTCTCACACACTACAGATGGCTGTGGATGACAGGAAATTCTATGTGGCATCTAAACAGAGTTTGAGAGACCTCCCCCCTCCTTCTGCCTCACCAATTCTGCTGCTGTGGTGCCCCCACTACCTGCTGCTGATGTGATTTTTCACAGCTTTCAGCATTCTGTGGGTACAGTACTTTTAAAGACAAGCAGTTGTTGGCTATCAGCCTGTGCTGGTGGCTCCCTTGGGCTTGCTGCTTGTGTTTGGTGGTGTGGAGGAGCCAGACAGTTCAAGTGAGCCCTCCAATATGCCTGAAATGTCCTTGTGCCTGATTCCCTGCGTATTGGTGTTACCAGTATTGAGAACAGGAAGTGCCTTGGTTTGTCCAGCCCCTGCTGTTGGACCAAATAGTGGCAAATGTTTCATCTGACTGTCACTTTCTCAGTGAATTTTTTTTAGAACCACATTCTGCTATTTTCATCAACCTGAGAGTTATCTCAGTTTCTTAAATATTATGAGGAATCTCCAATTTGTACATATATACTGGGAAAACTCAGCAAATGACTGTGAAAAACATAAATGTTAGAGAAACATTCTATTATTTGATCCTCACCTGCTGGCTTTAGTTAAATTGAAAGAAAAATAATTCGGAATGGAAACATCTCATTCCAGAACTGAGGTTAGACTAACAGGTCTGTAGTTCCCTGGGTCTTCCATCATGCTCTTGAAAATTCAGTGTCAGCAAATGGAAAGTCACTGCTCCCACCCTTGTGGTCCTCTGGCTTAGGAGACTGGGCAGCCCAACTTCTATCAGTGGCACTAAGGACTGAGGCAAACAAAAAAAGCATTCCATGCCTTTGCTTTATCTTACTGTATGTTAGTCCAGTGACAGTCTTCAGCAAGTTCCAGTATTTTCTTTTGAGCTCCCTTTGCTATTGACACACTTAAGAAAGACTTGTCTGACTCAACACTGGCCAGCTTCAGCCCTAATGGGCTTTTGGCCTTTCCTGTCCCCTCCCTGCATGCACCAACCACAGCTCTGTAATCTTGCTGCAAAGACCCACCTCGCTTCCAAAGATCCTCTTGAGCACCACAAACATATCCATGCTCAGCCAAGTTGGTTCTCTGCCACTTAATGTTTGGGAAAATTGAAATCTCCCACAAGAGCAAGGGCTACTGATCCAGTAATTTTTCATCATTACCCACAGAGTAACTCATCAGTGCTCACATCCCAACCAGGTGATCCCAGACCCCCCCTGCACCGTATCCTTTGTTTTCCACTGCCCTTGTCCTCATCCAGAGGCTTTAATGAAAGATAGCAAGTTAAAGCACAAGATAACATATTTATTGTCTGAAATATAAGCTGTGCATTTTGGAAATCACTTAAATCTCACTGGAAATGGCACAAGGGCTGCTAAGTCACTGAACGTCATTTGTGCTTTTTAGAATGAGGAAAGTGGACTAGAAAAACAACCCTTCAATTATAAATATTTCAAAAAGGCACAATTCCACTTCAATGTCTAGTTATGTATGTGACCAAATCTTTAGTGCAACATTATTAAATTAATTTTATGTGAAATAAGTATGCAACAACTGTTGCTAATAATAATAATGAAAGAAGAAATACCAGCCTTCTCTTTTAATTCCTAATAATTATACTTAATTTCTGATAGTGTTGTGGAGCCAGGATCCTATTACACAGCTACCAGCTGGGATGTTCTACAAAAAGAACAAGAAAATAATAAGGTGGTCTCTTTTTTGCCTGTGTGTGTGTATATAAAGACATGAGTCAACAGATGGGCACTGACAGCTCGAGAAGAGTTCCAGAAACCTGTCAGACAATGCTGGTGTATGATGTGCAGGGATGTCAGCACACAAATTGTGTGGGTTATATCCACCTTTATTCCATGGGTGCTGCAGTAGAGGACATTTGCAAGAGGGATTTGAAGTTGTTGGATGAATTGGCTTTGTGAATGTTAACTCCTCCTGCTCACAGCATGGGTGCAGAAGGTTCCCCAAGTGGATGTTGCTGATCATTTGTTCCCAGGCTTTCTGATATAATGGTGTAAAGTACAAATTGTGATTGTGATTTCCAGGCTGCAGATTTTGCATCAAGTCTGTAACATCAGAGGGTGGCATTTCACAGATACCATTTAGACAAGGGCTTCTATCTAAAGACCAGATCAGGTTGTAACTATGACAACCTCGCAGATACAGCTGCACTTCCAGGGCAGGGATTCTCGCCTGCACTTTTTCAATAATGCATAATTGGGATGTTAGATGTTAATTCAGTTCCTTTTTCTGTAAGGTGCTGATTTTGACCTGTTGTATCTAATGCCAAATGCAGTGAAAATCCCCTTGGAAGTTTGAAAATATGCCTTTTGCTTTTATATCTACCTCCTGTTTTCTAGTGGTGTTCTGATGCACACTGGAGTCTGTAGGCAGTGGTACAGTACAAAACAGCAGCAACGTGGTATTACAGCAGTTTCACATGATTTTTAATTCATCAATAATATAAGTAATAATTTCATCTTTAAAAAAAATTAAATTGTGTTGCTTTTTTTTCTACTCATTTTCCCCCATCCAGAGAAATGGAGATTTTTATTGCTTAAAGGGATGAAAGATGAACAAGAGCTCCTTTCTGTGAGAGTATTTGCTGAAAACAGTAATCCTTTTTTACTTTGTATATGAACCACCCTGCTAAATGTCATGGGACTTTGGATGAGTGCTGCAGAATTCTACAAAATACTTTAAAAAAAAAAAAAATTGAAATACAACAGCTCAAAATCAGCGCCCAATAAATTCTACAGGATTTTAGACTGTCCATAATGGACTATGGCATTTTAGCTTTGTTGAATCCTACTGAATTTTTTCACTAGGGTATCAATCTTCATACTTATACGTGCATGGTTTTATCTTCAAAACCTACCAGTTGAACAAAGCTAAGTGGAAGGCTGAAGGCAAATTTTGCATGTTGCCTTAAAGGAGTGACAGTGCTGTGCCAGGTCACAAAGAAGAAATTGCAGCTGGATCCTGGGATTAATACACCAAGGGAGCTGGGTTGTGGTAGTCAGGGAAACAGCAGGCACAAATGCTGCTGAGGAAACAAAAACCAAATCCAGGTCTGCTCTGTGAATTTTCTGTCAGCAACCTCTATGGGCCACACCATGTTGTTATGATGGTGTATTTACAGAAAATGGCACAATTTTTCTAATCAGTGGTGCTTGTGTTTTCTTGCTTAGATCCACAGGAAAGGAGTTTGCCCTGAAGATCATAGACAAGGCCAGGTGCTGTGGCAAGGTAGTGTACAACCATTTGCATGTGTACAGAGGCAGCACTAGCAGCTGCTCATTAGTCATAAATGGTTGGTGTGTTTGGGTTTTCTGACTATTTTCAGGGTATCTTTTTAACAAGAAGATAACATATCCAAGAAACAAATAGTAAAAACAGTGAGTGTTAGTCTAATAAATAATAGAGAAAAATCAGACTAATTGTTGCCTATCTTATTGGGCTGACAAAAAATGCTAATATGCACACAAAATTTATTGGACAATTTTGATGTGTAAAATATGAGAGAGGAAATTTGCAGCTATATGTTTATTTATGTAATTCCCATTCCACCCTGCCTCTTATTTTTCTTTCTGTATGGCTCAACATGCTCCTCTTATAAGCAGAACATGGATTTGAAAAGAAATTTTCACAACCATTTGTTTCTGTTTATGTAGTGTCACCTTCCTGTATTAACAAAGATCTCTTGTGTTCTGAAAAATTCCTTTTAATTTAAACTTTAAACAGAAAAATCCAAAATTGTCTCTTCACGAGAACAGTATCTCATATAGTCCAAGCAAATATCTGAGAGTGTCAGACTGCTTCTTTCCCTTCATACTTCTTGAGTATAGATATTTTTTTAAAGGAATAAAGACTGCCTCCCCTCTTTGTGTGATAAGGAGCTGTGTGATACTGTGATGACTTCCTATTAGGACAGGTCCTCAAACAGAAACATTTTATCTGTGCAGATTTTAAACCATGTATTAAGTGCTAGGAGATGAGGGTTTCATTTTAGCTCATATTTTCTGGGTTTATTTAGAAAATTCAGAAAGGAATCATAAAAATGTGCAGCCACAAGAAAAAGTGCTAGATTGCCTTTCTGAGATTAAAATATTGCAATTTCTTCAGCTGGTGGCCCACTGCCTTCCACTGCAAACAAAATTTTTGGATGATGTGTACAGCTTGCAACTTTAGATGATTTTTATTACTTGTCTGAGTCAGCTCTTTAGGTATCATAAATTGGAATGGTCTGAAGATACATAATCTACTTTACACAGTAGAGTTTAGAGGAATTTTCTACTTATCAATCTCCTTGCTTTAAAACATACATATATATATAAAAATCAACCCCATAGGTGCATAGTTGCCTGTTTTGAAATAACCTATATCTCTATAGCTAGAGACTGTTGGAAGGTGTTTATACCTCTTAGGGCAGAATCATTCTGGAAGAATTCCAACAAAGAAAATAACTAAATTTTGCTATTACTTATTCCTTCCTCACTCAGTTCCACAGCCCTGCCTTAAAAACACCCATCCAGCCCAAATTTGGATGAGTTATGTGTTGCTTACTGCTCCTTGATCTTGGATGTTCAGAAATTTGAATCCAATTTTCTGTTTTCCACAAGTGGCTTAAATGCCCATTAAACAATAATGTCTCTGTAAATAAATCATATTAATGTAGATGGAAACATATATTGCACTATCCAGGAGAACACCATTGCAAGTTTTGGAATTATTATTTTTTTACATGGCAAAACATAGTAAAGCAGTGGGGTGGTTGAAAATAACTAGCTACATATTAGTCAGCAGTTTTTGAAGACAGATTTTTAAACAGTAGTTCAACAACATTCTGGAGTTTTTCTTTTTAAAGAAATACTGTTTATTTTAAGTGTTAATTATGCCTGAGCAGTTTAGTCAAAAAAAGCACAGATGAAGCCATTGTGCCTTAGTTGTAATTAATGGGTGTAATAAATTTAATATGTTCCCTGTTCTTTAGGTTGAGAAAGATGTAATAACATTCTAGTTTCTGCTTGATCTCTTAGTTTGGAATTTCCAGGCTTCCATCCCTAAGGCTTAGTATGCTGTGGCTGTTCACGTCTGTCTGGTGATGAGATTCAGCATTGTGTTTAACAGAATTGCTTCCTGTTTGTCTGTTTTTCTCTCCAGAGCACTTTGCTTGGAGCAGGCATATGTTTGCTCAGAGTGACAATTGCTGCTCTTTCAAAGTGAAATTCAAAGGTGTGGTGTTTAACCTGTGTGTGCCTCACTGTTCTCTCACAAAACGAGATGCACACGTGGCACGTGGTTTCTGAGCTATGCAGCCACAGAAAGCTTTGGCAAAAGCACAGTGCATCTGTAAATAACCCCGAGGAAGAAGGTGAAGTGGTGTAAGATCTCCAGGCACTGCTATGCACAGTGGATCACATCTTCTCCTGATGCTCTGCTCACAAATGCATGAAGTGCATGCTCCTTATCAGTGCATTCAACATGGATAAGTTCCCAGTCCAGTGACATTATTTGTTCCCTGCCAGGGTAGAAGGATACTTATGTCTGATGCAAGCATTTTTTATTATTTTGCAGAGAACTCAAATACAATATCCATATTCTAAGATTTATAAAGGAAAACTAAAATCACACTTCATGTGGAAGGGACATGTAATTTTTTTTTTTTTGCTCTCCAGTGTTAAAATGTTCTAGAAAACAAGGCATTGAAACTAATTTGTTCTCAAAATTAGTTCTTCAGAAGAAACTTCCTCAGAAGCACAGGGAAGGGGAAATTGAACTCAGTCTGTCTGTTATTAAGCTGTTGGAGTCACAACAATTTAACTGAGCTATTGCACATTTTGCAGATTGTAAATCTGAGCAGACATATAAAATGAACCAAAATCCATAGCCAAAGCACTCAGAGTATTCTTTTCTTTAATATACTCCATTACTTTTTTAAAAAATAAAGTCCTTGGATACAAATCCTAGGTAATCTGTCCTTGAGTAACCTACACAAAATGAGAGGTGAAGGCTGGAGAGGATCAAGAACATGTTAACTGCTGATGAAGGGTGACAGGTTCCAATGATCCAGCTGGGGGGCAGAAAGGTTCTGAACTTAATTTCACCTCATAATACCCACATAAGAATATAACCTGCACTTCCTGAATTGCTGTCATATTCTGGGGTCTTTTTCAGAGATGCCCCATTCGTTATGTGAAATATATTTCAAATTAAATGTGGTCAGTGATGAAATACAAGCTAAGATCCAGCAACTGAAAATAACCTGCAATATAAGTTAATCAGCAAAAAGGGTGCTCACTGATTAAGTGATTGGCTGATCAAAGGAAAAGTGAATTGGCAAATTCATGCTTCAGATGAACTTCCATCCTTTTCTGAACAGGAACACCTGATTGAAAATGAAGTGTCTATTCTGCGCCGAGTGAAGCACCCAAACATCATCATGCTCATAGAGGAGATGGACACCCCCACAGAGCTCTACCTCGTGATGGAGCTGGTCAAGGTAAGGCTCAGGGGGCTTTATTTGTCTTTGAATTCTCTGTGTTGATGTGAAATCTGAGCAGTATCTAGGAATGCTAAGATCTTGGGAGACATAATCAATAAGGTTTCAGTGGCAGCCTGCGTTTTTAAACCATAAAAATACACCTGTCAAGCAAGTATATTAATGGGATTTCTCTCTCTTCAGTTGTAATTTTATTATTAACACAGATTTGAGGTAATTTTGCAATGTGCACAGTCTAGAGAGAAATAGATAGGAGGTTTTATATCATGCCTACAATATGCAGGCATTTCATAGAAATTAAATCTCTGTAATAAATTTATCTTAATACATAAAACAAATAGATTGAACTAAAGTGATTTTCATCCTGGAAAACCAAAACTCAAAAGATCTAACTCATTTTGCTTATATCAAGCAGTTCACCAGAGAACAGATGTTGCCTTCATACATATACAGAGAAAACACAAATATTCTTTTTGCTGTCACCTTGTGAGCCAAGTACACGAATAGCATCAGGCTCTAGTCATGATTCTCTTGTCTGAGTCCTGTGCATGCACTGCAACACTGCACATCAGCTCCATTGGCATGTCAGACACAACATACAGCAAGAGCAGGATGTAGTAGGAGCACTGCTCATTTTTTGAGGAGCACATTTTATTTCTAACTGAGGCACTGTTACATTCAGGAGTCCCATCTAGAATGGTTGCCAGACTGGGAGACCTCTAAAGGAAGTGTGTAGTTACTGAATACATAATTTCTGTAGCCCACGCATCTTTCTTCCTTTCTAGAAGTTATTTTTATACCCTATAGGCTTTTTGGGATTTCAAGACAGTATTTTTTTTATGTTTTAATTCACCACCATCTTGGTCTGTATTTCCTGAATTGCTGCTTCTCTTTGGTGTGCATTTAAATGCTTGGAATGCCACCCACAGCTCAGACAGATCACTCCTACAGATGTATCCAGGGAAACCATCACGGAGACACCCACATGACATTTGTTGTAAGGACTGAAAATGCTGCATCAGTTACTCACTTGCACATTGCTGTGTATTCCCAGAGGAACAGGGCATCCATAAACAGAGCCTGACACATTCAGAAATCACCTGGAGGTTCTGCACTTTGATGTATCTCAGTCAGTGGATTCATTTATGTCGGAATGTGCTTATCTTTTTTTTCCTCTTCAGCTATATTTATTTGGTATTTCTTGCAATATCGACAGAAATTTGAATTTGCTGAGTATTTGCTAGTTAGGTTTTTTTTTTTTTTAATTATTGGGCTAATTTATTTTAGGCTTTACTCAAAATCAGGGCTATTTTTCAAGATGTTGAAGGTATTCTACTGATAAGATGAAGGAAAAGGATGCTGTATTCCTGTACCTGTTGGTAAGATAAATGAGTGATCAAGAGTAGGAAGATCAATAGAAAAAAATCTGTGATTGGCCCAAGCTCAGACACCAGAACTGTACTGAAGTACAGTTTAGAACTTAATGTAGAAGGCCGAAGTCCTAGTCTAGTATCTTGGTGACAAGATCATCTTTCTGCAATTTTTTTTTTTCTGTTTAATGGGAATTTGAGCATGTTTTTTGGGAAGGAAGATTTTTCATGTTGAGTGGTTTTGTTTTTTTTTAACCAGATACCATCTTAATTTTTTAAACAATGATATCTTTTTCCTTTCCATCACACAGGGAGGAGACCTATTTGATGCCATCACTTCATCTACAAAATACACAGAAAGAGATGGGAGTGCCATGGTCTACAATTTAGCCAGTGCTCTCAAATACCTTCATGGTCTCAATATTGTGCACAGAGACATCAAACCAGAAAATCTTCTGGTATGTCCCATTTATTTTCCAGTATTTTTTTCTTACTTTGTTCTCATTAATGCAACTGCTTGTGTAGAAATGTCAAGGAGCACAGCAGAGAACAGCAGGCATATTAATTTAGAATAGTTATGTATGAAGTAAATCTTTTGCTGTGAGATAGCAATCACTGTAATGCAGGAGAGCTGCGCTCAAACCTGTCCTTAGATCTATCCTTATTTACAATTTGATTGGCTGCCTTTTGGATAAGCAGGAGTACTGTCTCACAAAACAATACATTTTAAAGCTATGCCTATGAATTATTTATCAGTTTGCAAGTGGGAGAAAGGTGGACTGAGAGCCATTTCTTCATTTCTTCAACAATCCTATGGTTACCATCTGAAGCCAGTGGTTTTTTCCTTTCACTGTCATTGCAGGATCATCTTTCTGATGGTTTAGCAGAATTCTGGCTGGGAATTAACCCTTTACATACATTTTTTTCTTTTCCTAGGCAACTGGCTACTTTTGTTTTCAGCAGAGACATAAAATAACTGTGTTAACAAGAATTACCATGAAGTCTGCTTTGGGAACTACTTATTCCCCAGTCCACAGAGGGCATCATTCCCTTTCTGTCCACAGAATGGGATCAGAGTGTGCTGTCCTGCTTATCCACAGAGGTTACACTTGTGCATTACATATTGGATATTAAGTGTCACACATTGCACCAGGACCATAATCTCCCCTTCTTGAGGCATTTCTTAAAAGTCTTTTGTGGTGTTTGTCAGTCCTGTTTAACGAGTTTAAACCAATAGTAGGAGACACAGCTTATCCCACACTGGATTTTGAACTATAACAAGGACAGGGCTACAAGCTGAAAATATTTCCTAATTAATAGTCATTTTTTCCCCAGTAATTCCACTGACAGTGTTTAGCAATTTAAATAAACCCTCAGATAAATTAGATTGTTTAGCAAAAAGAGGCATGGGGGGAGGCTTCTCCTGGAAAATGTAGTCACAGCAACATGGCACTTGAGAGAAAAAATGAAGGTGGGAAGTCTCACGTACTATTAGTGTATCTCCAAACACAGACAGTCCAAAGAAATTTTAAGCTCTCATTAGAGAATGAATCAGTTATAAATAGGTACAAATGCCCTTTCTGTCTAGAAAGCCTAAAGAGATTACTCAACAGATGCAAATCTTACTCACTGTGATTGACAGCAGCAGAATGTTGAGATAGCATCCTGGTATTGAATATAAATGCAAATAATTCCCATCAACTGCTACCTGTAATTGCACATAGGTTTGGTTTTTTTTTGGTATTTTTTTGTTGGTTTTTTGTTTGGTTGGTTGGTTGGTTTTGTGGGGTTTTTTTTGTTTTGTTTTTTTTTTTTTTTTTTTTGCAGGGTGTCATCTAGCCTCTCTGGATGGGAATTACATTCCCTTTGCTAGTCATGCATTTAAAAAATGCAAACCCTAAGAGTAATAGCTGGTATAAAGGTGTTACATAAAGGAGAACAAGTGTTTCCATTACTGATATGAATTACACAGAATGAAGAAATGTATTGCAGTGCCCAGTTGTTTGAGGAAGGCAAATAAATTCAGCCATTCCAGAGATCATGGGGTCCTCGGTTTTAGAAACTTTGAATTCACGTCAATATGAATATTTTACTTTAAGAATGAAACTGAGATGAATTTATTAGGGGGATGTTTCCTTTGTGTTGGTCTGGTTTGATGTATTCCTGCCATCACTGTTGTATAACACTTTTCTTTCTATTGAAATTCAGCTTCTTTCAACAATAAAGTGACTCAGTGCTAGATTGTTTATAGGCCTTTAGGTAAGGTGTGGTTGGGTCTGCACCAAAACCTAAACTGAATTTGCCCAGACCAAGCACAGAGAAGACATTTGCTGATGAAACTGCCCAATATGATGACTAGATTTATGCTAAGGTAACAAGATGTTAAACTTGATTCTGAAACTGATACAAATCTGATTGTAGCTGCCAGTCCCATTTTAAATTCTAGGTTCCAGTCAAATGAAAGTAGAGTATTATATTTTACTGAATATATTTAAAACTTCTTAACATTCAAGGACTGGATTTTCTTTTCCACCTCTAGTCACTCAAGGCTGTGTCATGGTCTGACCTACATAGCTGGCAGACAGCTCCATTGAACATTTGCTCCAGCTGCAATCAATGGCAATATCATTTTTTTTTTCTTCTTGCCCTACAGGACTGTGTAAATTACTTCTTTTTTCCCATCTTTTTTGGTGTGGTGATGATGACTTCCCAAAGAAATTAGAGGATATAAAAATGCAGATGTTCTCCTCATTCTGTGATAATTCCTCTGATTCTAGGTGTGTGAATATTCAGATGGAACCAAGTCTTTGAAGCTTGGAGACTTTGGACTGGCGACAGTGGTCGAAGGCCCTTTGTACACTGTCTGTGGGACACCCACCTATGTGGCTCCAGAAATCATTGCAGAGACAGGGTGAGCACAACTGCCTACAACACAGGCCTGGTAACCACTCCTTTTTGGCAGGTTGTAAGATCTTGTAAGATCTAAATGCTCCATGGCTTTGTAACCAAACCACCCAAGGGCACCACTCCCAGTTCCTCCAAGAGGCACTTGGCTCTGCCTGCTCCCAGAATTTGCCTTTGCCTCCTTTCCCACCTTCCCAGGACCAGCTCTGGTGCAGTGGAGTCCATTGGTTTGTGCTCCCCGACTCCCCTCAGCATCCAGAGCCCACTGTACCATCCATGGCAGCTGTTTAGGGAAGAACAGACAGGTGAAACACAGTGGTTACATTAGAAATGGAATCACTTATATTGGAAGAGGCTGCAGAGGTCACCTAGTCTCAGGACAGTTCTAACTAGATTATGTTGATTCAAGTGACCCTTTTGGGTGACACATCCTGTTTGGTAACAATTGAACAACCCCATTATTCTGTATTTAACAGGTCATTGCATAAATACAGAAAAAAAAATCTAAAAATATGAACTTTCACCAATGGTAGATTTTCACAAGTCCCCTCTCCTTTTAGACCTACACAATCTCCATTCCATGCTCTGGCTGATTTTTGCCATAGCTGTAACCACTCTGAATTTCCTGATGGAGGGAGGTTTTGTTGTGTTGTTTCACTCCTTGTTCAGTGCATTTGTTGCATTGAGAAACATTTCAGAGCTGCAGTCAGCTCTGGTGTCAGAAGGCACCACTTGAGATTTTAACAAACCAAATCTACTGAATAGGAGAAAACCTATTCCTCCAGTGTTTTAATTTCCGTGCTTTAAAAGAAAAGTGCAGCTCTTCTTCCCCATATTACTCCTGGAGAGGATGGAGAATTGTGTCTTGTTGCTTAGCAACACATGATCTAACCTTTGAGAGAGTTACTTCACTGCAGGGACTGAGAAGGCACATCCTTGTCTTTAACTGTTAGTGGCTCTGGACTGGGAAACCTGGATACTGACTTTGATTTGAGTATATTCAGAAGACCCTGGAGAGCCTTGAGGCTTATGGTACAGGAAAAACAAAAATCATAGCATCATGGTTTCTTAAAGATTATAAAATTGTGAAGAAAAAGATGCTCAGGCACAAAATACATCACCCCATTGTCAGCAAGTAACTTAGCACAGATTCTCATGCAATCCTGTCAGCATCATTTATTTTTGATTGGAATGACTCTTTTTTGTCGTTGTTATTAATTCAGCACAAGTAACACAGACTTGTTTTCTCAGGTATGGCTTAAAGGTGGATATTTGGGCTGCAGGTGTGATCACTTACATCCTGTTATGTGGATTTCCACCTTTTCGCAGGTGAGTGTCAAAGGGAAAACCAGTGCAAGCAATCAAGTTCATTCGGAGCAAGTCTGACCTTTCTCCCAAGGAGGCATCCTTGTGGGAATAAAAATGATGGGATCAGAACCGTGGTTTCCTCGCGGTTTTGTTGATTTCTTTAAGTGGTTTTCACTTGTCCCCCATTTTAGGTTTTGGGAGCACTTTTTAAAATGTATTTTCTTACGGGGGCAGGTGTTTTGGCGCTGTGTGGGGGCAGAGGCGCTTTTCCTTTTGTCTCCATGCGATCCCAGCTCCGGGATCCGCGGGCAGGCGCTGCCCTCTGCCGCTGGAGCGGGGATGCGGCAGCTCCCGGCCAGCGGCCGCGGGAAACCAGGAGAGGTGGAAATGTGCTTACCCCGCCTTAAACTTGTTTGTCCTTTTTGGTACTCAGAGCCGCACTGAGTTAAAAACGGGCGGGTTGTTTTTGGTTTTGGTTTTTTTTTTTCGCCAGAGAATGAGAAGGAATTCGCACATTTTAATAGGGAATGATGCTCTTAACAGATAAATTACTACTAATGCAGGGCCTGTTTGTTTGTATTTTTACAGCAAAATACTGAATAAAATAGGTTTTAACTAAAACACCTCACTGAACAAAAATATCTTGCAAACAATACAATTATTGTTGATGGAAAAAATATTAGTTCGGGTATTTGGCTTTCTCATGTTGTTATTTCACGTTTAAAGCTGAAAATGGGTTTTGAAAGATAGATTGTATCTTTCAACTAGCAAATGTATTGTTTGATTAGAGTTTTCAGGGAGGGCGCAGAGAATGTCCATATCATGCTAGTAGAACCAGGCTTTATGAGTGAGATTAATAAATGTGTGTTAACTATGCAGCCCCGACTCCATTGGAAAAGTTACCTCAATGTATTGGCTCAGAAGAGCTATTGCTGTATAAACTTGCAAATTATGCATTTCTAGTAGTTATTAACATAATTTCTGTTCCATCCCAAATCAAGTTAAAATTCCCATGACAAATTGCTTTTTCTCTCATAATGTTTTTTGTTACTGCTGTTTTACAGTGAAAACAACCTTCAGGAAGACCTCTTTGATCAGATACTTGTGGGGAAGCTGGAATTCCCCTCTCCCTACTGGGATAACATCACTGATTCAGCAAAGGTACTGATATTTTTTCCCACCTGAAACAACATTTCTGACAAGCTCCTGTGCAGCCTGTGCTCAGCTGGGAGGGCAGCCTGGAAGATGTAGAGCAGCCCAGTGCCCCAGCTGCAGTGCCTTTTCCTGAATAGTGGCTTTCCTGAGCTGGTTTACCTGAATACTGCTTGATGAATGCTCAGGTATTTCAGGCTGCCATGGTTCTGCCTGAGCAAGAGTAGCAAAATGCCAGCTGCATTCAGGGAACGTCACACGATTCCCAGATCACTTCATGGTGCACTTTACAGCAGGTTCAGTGCTTCAGCTGTAAAATAAATGTCCTTGAATTTTTCCTTCTTGTCACTCTTTAAAAACAAAAATTATTGCTCTGTGGATTGGTTGCAATAGGTATTTCTTCCTGTTTTTACTTGAGGCATTTATTGAAGCTTTTCAAGAGGTGCAGCCATGGCTAATTGCCACTGCCAGCAGTTCTGTGATCATTGCAGTTTTGTTGAAATTAAGTGTATTTGTAGGACAAAGATTCAAGTTGTAAGCCCCACTTCTCAGGTTAATTTGCTAAAGTGCTCTGAATAGTATCTGAGGACTCGCTAGCAAGTGGAGGTGGTTTTTTATCTAGTCAATGAGAAGCTGAATTTTTTCTGCATTTTTCTGCATTTACCAATGGGTGTTTATCCATTTACCAACATTTCCCAAGTCCTAGTCATCTGGCACATTTCCAGACAAGCATTCTGAACAAACAAGGTCCTCAATCTTGGTATTCAAGGTGACGTCTCACTTCAAACTTCACAGACTAAAGAACTTAGCTGGTTGGTAAAGCTCTCAGGTGTGTTGTTGTCATCTGCTTGAAGAAACCATTTCCCAAAATTGAAGCAATGGACAGTGCCCTTGAAGTAATCTTAATAACAATATGGAGACTGATAATTTGGAGGTTATAAAAGGTTTTTTGAGGGAGAGACTTGGCTCAATGTCTTGTATTCTCCTGCAGCAACACAGAAAAGAATGTTTTTAAGTAATTCAATCAGTTTCTTGACTTTCAGGTGGAGATTCTTGTCTCTGATTTGTGTTTTTTTATGTAATGTTACTGAGTGCATGTACACCGCCCAGAGAGGATCTCATCTCTCCCACGTTTTGTTTTGTTCTGGTCATGTGCATGGATATAGAGAGAACAAAGTGGAATATTAGAGCTGATTTTTTAAACATATCTTTTTAATTTGTTTTCAATAGACTCAGTGAAGCATGAGTACAGTGAAGAAGCTGATCTCAAACACACTGCCTTGCACACCCTTAATCCTAAAGGGCAAATTTAAGTTCCACTTAAGTCACACTGGTATCACTGCTTCTGGTATCAGCTGGAGTTGGTTTTTTTCCATCCAGGTATCAAGAATATTGCACTGAGAAGAACTTGGTGCGACATTATTCTCAGTTTTAATATCCTTTCCCACTCCCTTCAAACTCCTCCTTTTTATTTTTTCAATGAAGGAGTTAATCAGTCTGATGCTACATGTGAATGCTGAAGCCCGGTACACAGCAGCACAGATCCTAAGCCATCCCTGGGTGTCAGTGAGTAAATCACATTTCACTTGTCTCTAATTTGACATTAAACCTGTAAATCTAATCATTAACATGTAGTATTCAGAAGAAGCAGTACATATATTAGCTATTAGCAAATATAACACCTAATTTACCATAGACACTAAGCTGATGCCTGCCAGGTACTTAATCTTCTCAGGTAGCAGCAAAAGGGAACACCAAAGTGCATTGCTTATTGATTTAAAATCAATTAATTATTAATAAGTACTAGGTTTACATGGAGACAGTCAATGCTTATTTTCAGACATGTTCTAAAAGAGGGACTGAATATGATCTATGGAGTTCCCCGACACAAGAGAAGACAACTATTAACAAGTGTATCAATGGATAAAAGCTCCTCTCAAACATATTTATGATACTTTATAACACCCTTGGACTTAGAACATGATGGGCCATTTAAAATGGTGATTTGAAAGAAATCCAAGTGAAAAATATGCTTTTAATTTTTAAGATTATTTCAAGCATGTTATTTTTAACTTGCTTGAATCAAACCTGTAGCTTATAATTGTGGGAGAAATCAATGCACTGGAAGTGTCGCATGCAATTTTAAGAAATAGAAGTTCATTCATGAAACAGCGAGTGATTGCTCTGTTCCTTTCCTCTGGAACTGTCTCTCATATAGCAGAGCATGTTCACTTTTGGACTGCCTGTCTGTGTATTTACTATACATTAAAAAGCAGAAAGTACTTGATGATAAAAAACTTTTTGTATTTTTCCTAACTTGAATATTGTGTTCTTTCTTATGCAGGATGATGCTTCCCAGGAGAATAATATGCAAGCTGAAGTAACAGGTAAACTGAAGCAGCACTTTAATAACACCCTACCCAAGCAAAATAACACATCTGCTGGGGTTTCTGTCATCATGGTAAGAAAAATGAACATTTTTATACATTGATAGTACACCCTGCATATTTTCCTGACAGTGCTCTATGAGCACATGTGGTGCAAGAATAGCAAACCCAAAACTAGAACAGTGTCTAATTCTAGTCTTTATTGATGTATAATGTGGATTGTCTCATTGCTTGAGAGCAACCAAGTCTATCACAGTGTGCTGCCCAAGAGAGCTTTCAAACAGAAACATGTGAACACTAAGTAGGTGCATGTTAAAATGAAGTTTATTAACAATTTGAAATCTTTCATTATAAAAACTATGAGATTTTTTTATCATACTGCTCATCTAGTCAAGTAGGGTCTTCCTCTGTGCCTGACCAAGTATTACTTCATCTTGAGCAGTGTTGTTCAACACTACCTGTGCCAGGAAACCAGGATCCATTCCAGAAACTTCCTTTCTTCCTGATCTTACTGGGGCCCATCCTTGTCTGATGCAAGGATGGACACTGCACACAAAATTTATCTTCAGTAACTTAAAGGAAGTAAAGCCATCCATGCTAACGTAACAGGGAGTTCCACCCTCACCCTCCTATCACTATTAATTAATTACTTTCAAAGCCCAGACCACTTATGTTAACAAGTAGAATTGTTTTAAGCCTCTGAGAACCAGCAAATTTAAATAAAATGTTTCTGCCTGCATCTCTGTCTTTGCAAATACATTTATGTGAGTTAAACAGGCAAACAATTTAAATGTAGGAAAAGTGATAACATAAAAATAAGTCAGGAAATGGATTTCAGGTTCATGCTCTTGTCTACATTTCATTTGACAGTTTGACTTGACAGTTTGAGAGGGACTTCAGAGCTTCATTCTTTATTCTGTTGAGACTATGGATAAGCCTGAAGCTGAAAACTGGTATAAAATGCACTATATGTAATAAGAGCAATTTAAATTCTAACTCTCAGCCCCTCTCCAACTTGCATGCCACTTAAGCCTGTCTCAGATCTCTGGCACAGCGTAGCTTCTGGCTTCCTATTGCTGTGAGTTTTTTCTGTTAGCTACTGACACTACTTCAGCCAGGAAAGTTCACCTCATTTTACCTTTTCCTGCTTTATTTCCTTCTAACAGGTATGGAAGGATGTAAATGCATAATTATTAATTGCTGAATGCAGCTCCCAATTAATGCTGAAAGCAAAAGTAAAATCTTGTACAAAACACTGTGATCTAATAAGGGTTAAGCCCCCAATTTGTTATTCTTGCCCTGGTTTACCTTGAGCATTGAAATTGATTTACCTTTGTGTTCAGAAGTTCTTCACTTGCTCCAGCACTCATTGCTTACCAACATTCAGCAGTGCATTGCTCTCTCAGTCCACCTGCACATTCACTGGAGCCCCTTTAGCATTCCCTCATTCCAGCACTGTCACCTGGCCCATGCAGACAATACCATCCTGTGGCAGATAAGTAAAACTGCACATCCCCAGTTCAATGTCCTTGCACAGGAGCCTCCCGCTGCCCCCAAAAGCACGTTGCTCTTAATTCATTACTGATTTTTTTTTTTTTTTGGTCAATTAAGAAATGTTCTGTAAATCTAAATTTGTTGCAATTGTGTTAGTTCTGCTTAAAGTAAGTCTAGTTTCTGTCCCTTGCTTCCTTCCTTTTTTCCTCCTTTCCCAATGCCTGCATTGCTTTCCTCTGAGTAGGTCCAAGGCAATGGTACGTACTAACGGCAATGCTTTGTTCTGCTGCACAAAAAGTACATGGTCTCCATTTGTAACAAGAAAGGAGAAATAACTAAGCCAGTCTGAAGTGGAAAAAGCTGTACAGCCACACCAAACCAGCAAAGGAATCCCTTTTAAACACTTAGGAAAGAATAGTTCTGTCTTGAGTGATGCCTATCTGAAATAGGCTAAAGCAAATACCAATACAACAATTTTTTACTTCCTCAGACATGTCTTGGTTTATTCTCCCGGCAGTAATTTTGTGAATGTCTATATCTCACTGTATGTAAAAACAGCTAGAAAAACATGAGAACGCTTTGAAGACAGAAGCAAAGAACTAAACCACTGAACTGAACATTGTTTCCATTTAAAATTGGCACTTCCTTTAGAGTCAGACATGAGATAATCAATCCTAGATAAATAAAAAACATTCTGGCTTAGCAACAGTAAAATTAAAATATAAATGCTCCTATGTAACTGCATTACATAGGAATGTGCTGCTGCTATGAGGACAGCACAGGAGAAAATCACTATGAGCATGAACTGAAAGCATATCCTTCCCCTAACTTTACTTGCCACTGAAATAGCAGAGAACCCTATTTACAACTTTTTCCAGCAAGAAAAAAGGCAGTGCAATGGTGTGTTGATAATGATAAAACTCCTTTAGAAGCTGCTCCTTTCCTTGCATGCTCCCTTTTCAGTGTTGATTGTCAGTAGCAGAAACTCAGTTGTGGACTGTGGAATTTTCTCCTTGTACCTCTCTATGCAGGGAGGCTAGTGATGTAACTTGAGTTAAAAAAAAAAACCAACAACACAACAACAAAAAAAGATAGCAAATACATTGTATCTGCTGTCTTTGATGACTTTGATACAATAAACACATCTGGAAAAAAATGAACTATGCTAAATTAGACTTGTGTCAGAAAATTATTTCAGTGAATTACTTCAGTGAATAGTGTATTAGTCAAACCCAACTAAAAACACATAAATTTTTGCATTAGTAAAGCAAGTCCAATCAAAAGAATAAATTTTTGAGGAAAAGGCAGAACAGCTGACCTTACAATTAGCACATTTCCTTTAGAGGGCATGGAAATTGTTGTCTTCAGCAGATGTACCACATACTCCAGATAATCGACCTATTCACTACAGAATTCTCCGTTTTCATTCCAACTTTTTGCTCCCTTCTCCTGTAAACTCATTTTTAAGTACAGAATTCAGAAATTATGCCTTTTTGCATCCATGAGAGGTCATTTGCCTACTCTCACCACTAAGCAGAAAAGCAGGCCCTTTTCTTGAAAAAAGAAAAAAATGTTTAGGTTTGCACCTGTCATCTTCCCCAGCGGCTCCCCTTCTGTACTGTGTGGTTTGTTACAGGAATTGTAGCACTGAGTTCTCAGTAAGCATCACCTGATTCCTTGTGTCTCCAAAAACACAGGTACATAAATTTTGCTAATAGTTACTATGATAAGTTCCTTCTCTATCACAACTACTCATGCCATCTTTTTTTTCCACATCAGACTTGCAAGACAAAAATTTTTAACTTGCAACATCATGGCAAGCATACATCTGGAAGAGAAGTTTTCCTTACATTTCATGAAGTCAGCATCACAAAAATTATACAATTCATTATAAAAAAGAATTCTAATGCTATTTCTCCTTTTTTATCCTGGCTGTATTGCATGCAGTTTATGTCTTGTAGATCGTTTTAACCCTTAAGACCGGGCTGTATTTAAGTGTTGTTTCATGTTTTGCCTTGGGTTTGTTTTGTTTGTAGAACACAGCTCTAGATAAAGAGAGTCAGATTTTCTGCAGCAAGCGCTGTCAGGACTCTGGTAGAGCTGGAATGGAGAAAATTTCTGCAATTGCTGCTGCAGCTGCTGATCTTCGTGTGGCTGGCTCCGAGCCCCTCCTCCCTGCTGCTCCTGAGCCACTCCGGTCCCCCAAGCTGCCTTCTCCTGAGCTTGCTGGGGATCAGCCTGGTGCTTAGGACTGGGGAAAACAAATCCAGCTGAAGCTCCCCACACTCTGGCCACAGTTTTCTTCATTTCCCATGACTGTTTTCACTTCGTGTGAGTCTCTCATGGCAAGCCCCAGCCAGATCTGATCCTCTCTCTCACAGGGGGTGAACGAACCACATCTTGGAAACAGGAGTAGGGGAAAGACTCTGGCAACATTAGGTGGTTTTTTAAGTTCTCTATGTCAGTAATTAACTCCATTTCACACAGCCTTAGGCTCTAAATAGACTAACTTATGGTGTAGCTAACCATATTTTTATATGAGCAGTGAGGTGGGGAACAGTTACCTGGCCTCACATCCACCAGCAGGCCCTGTTCTGTTCTTCTGATGGGAATTTTCAGAAAAGTGGGAGAGGCAGACAAGGAAATAAAACTTTTATTTGCCTTCTATTCCAATGCCTCTATTTTTAGCCAAGTTTCTACTAAACTTGAAGATGCAAATTTTCATGAAGAATTTTTTAGTGGACTAACTGTAAAGTATCATGAGACGAACATTTGGAGATAGTGAGGGAAGGATGGATGTTTTCCATCAAGTTTGTTATCTGACTTGCAGGCAGGGTAGTGTTTAGATAATATGAATTTAAATAAAGTAACTTGGGATGTAAACATGAGCAGTGGACGTTTATTTGTTATGAAGACTGGAGTGAAGGAAGCCTTTTTGCTTTAGCCACTTTCTATCCTAACCACAAGTGTCCCATCCACACCTTTCTCCAGGGTCAGACTACCTGTTAGATAAAAAAAATAAAATTACTTTGGGCCTGTGAAGGGAAAACCTGCTGCATGTTATCCAAGCCATGATGAGCTGAGCAGCTCCTAAGTCTAGGACAAGCTGATAGAGGAGCTGCCATCAATACCTATCAGAGGTTTGTCAGTGCTATCCCCCTATTCACCTGGTGCAGGCACTGGAAACTGGATTGGGAAGCAGCTCTCCTTAATCTGCAGTCACAAAATAGACAAAGTTTTCTCTCTACCATAATGCTTAGTTCAATAGAGTATGTATTCAGCTTAATCCTTTTCCTTTGCTCGTTCTTATGAATTGCTCATAGTTCATTTTTTTTCTCTTAGTTATACTTTCTACTAGAATTGTAAAAGAAAGACCTGCAATAAACTTTCTTCATTAAAAAAAACAGAACACAAAAAGTCATTCGTTTCTTTGAGAGCTCAATTATTTTGTCAGCAACACTTGTCTTACTCCCCCTGGAGAGACTGAACAATTAGATGCCTACCAAAACAATTTAATGGAATTAATTTGAGGGATTCCCATAAACTTCATTGTTTTAAAGTTCATTGCTTCCTATGAAAGCCATGATTAAACATGGTTGTTTTACCTTTTGAAGAGCATTTAAAGAATCAGAAAATGCCAAGTGATAACTTAAGGCCATGGCAGCTGAAAGATGTGCAACATCTTGGCAAGAAGATGGTATTAAAGGTAAGAAAACATGGAATGTCTTAAATTATGATAAAAAGGTTGGGCTACAACCAATCCTTGCTGATTAACTTCATTGTGGGTTCCCTGGAGTAAGTTCAATATACTTGAAGAGTATGGGAATAGCCTTTCTGTAAAATAATTTGGGTTTTGGTACAGTGCAAAAAGATGAAGCTATCACTCCAACCTTAATCAGAAGAAAAACTTCTGATTCTGGTAAGAGTCTGTAGCTGGCTGGCTGTATGGTTGGTGATTTCTGCAACAAGTCTCAGACTCCAAGTAAATAGAGATGGGTTGCTGGGAGATTTGGTGGTTGAGGTTGCTTGGGGCATAACAGTCATGAAAATATAGAATTCTCAATATTTGGTGAAGTCAGGAGGAACATTAAAAAGACTTTTGTACTGAACTTTCTGAGGGCAGACTTTGGCCTGTTTAGGAGGCTTATTCAAAGAGTTTCTTGGGAAGCAACCCTTAAAAGCAAAGGAGTTCAGGAAAAATGGATGTGTTTCAAAACAAGAGATCTTGAGGCCACAGGAACAGACTGTCCTTGTGTGCTGAAAGATGAGGTGACGAGGCAAACACCCAGCCTGGATGGGCAAGGAGGTTTTGGAGGAACTTAAGAATAAAAAGAGGATGTATCATCTTTGGAAGGAGGGTCAGGTCTCTCAGGAAATATTTAAGGGGGCTACTAAAGCATGCAGAAGAAAAATTATGGAAGCCAAAGCTCAGTTGACTTTGGTAAAGGAAAAAAAAAATGTTTTTACAAATATATTAACAATAAAAGGAAGGGTAAGATCAGTCTTTGTTCTGTAGGAGGGAACTTGGTAACAGCAGATAAAGAGAAGGCAGAAGTGCTTAATGCCTTTTTTGCCTCAGTTTTTAGTGGGAAGATGACTTGCCTTCAGGAAAACTGTCCTCTTGGGTTGGTCAATGGTATCAGGGAGCAGAATGGTCACCCCGTTATTCAGGAGGAGGCAGTCAGAGAACTGCTGAGCAGCTTGGATGTTCATAAATCTATGGGATCCACCCCAGGGTGATGGGAGAGCTGGCAGATGAGCTCTCCATCATTTACCAACAGTCCTGGCTCAGTGGTGAGGTTCCAGATGAAGCTGGCCAAGGTGACACCCATTCACAAAAAGGGTGGGAAGGAGGATCCTGGTAATTATAGACCATTCAGCCTGACCTCAGTACCTGGTAGGGTTATGGATCAGTTTATATAGTGAGTGTCATCACACAGAACTTATGGGATGGCCAGGGTATCAGACCCAGCCAGCATGGGCTTAGGAGGGGTAGGTTGTGTTTGACCAACCTGGTCTCCTTTTATGACCAAGCAACCCACCTGGTGGATGCAGGAAAGGCTGTGGATGTTGTTGATTCCATGTTCAGCAAGGCTTATCACACTGTCTCCCACAGCA